CCTTGCGTGAAAGAACTTCTTCCGAAACTCTGCGATTAGTTTCCTGGGTAATCCTCCTGCACAAGGACCCCGCCTTCTTGTCTTGTGAATGGGATGCATGTGTACTGTGCAAGCAATCCATCTTTTCATGTGCATGGCTTATTTTTCGCATCTTCCACAGTGAATGAATGTATGGAAATGCGCGTCTCTTTGGCGTTGATTAGACGATTGTCGTCGGGATTTCGTCCGAGAATGCAAGAGTGTTAAGATCTGTAGCTCTGAATGCACTGCGCATGCCATCTGCCTTATGCTGTCCGACATCAGCAGCCGAACCACGAGGCGGCCTCGAGAAACAAGGCGCCTGGGATCAACGTCGCGCTGGCTCACTAAAACTGAGTCGCGGATCGGTCCCTCAGTTATATGCATGATCAAGCTGCTGAAGTGTCTTCTCTCTCCCTCTCTCGTGTTAAAGGGATTGATTGTGAGTTGTGCGAGTGTTTTCTTTTCTTTTGATGAGGACGTCACGAGGTCTTTGCAATTGATTGACATGTGGATGGACAAACACCCTTCGATCGGGCACCAACCTCCTGCACCTCCCGCCTCAACACGACCTTTTCCCTACAACGAGGAAAGGACACGTGTATGCGAGTGGGACATATGAGAAGCTGTCGCACAGATCGGCGGGCAATACTACTTCCCTCCGGCCAACCGCTGTTCAGGGTTTGTAGAGGCTGGGTTTGTCATTATCGATACGCACTTCCCACCTTACTCGATATTGTTGTCATTCAACGAGTTGATCGTCATCCCGTGGACGGCAGTAGAACCCCACTGGCCGCGCACTCTATGCACCGAATGCCAGCGTTTTGAGCGCTACGAATCCAGGGGTTTCCACTACCGTGTGCGGAGTGAAGACGAGCATAAAGAAAGAGCTACGCGACAGAGACCATCCATGTCGGACTCGAAACTGACCATCGAACGACGACGAGATTTGATACGAAAACGAGACAGCGGAGCGTGCCAAAGCCTTTTCGTTCTAAACGACGGGCTGTAGCTCGGTGGGGAACCCGACAATACTTTTTGGATTGAATTTGGATTTTTCTCTTTTCGCGTCGTGCCCGCGCGCGCATTCCGCGACGCGCGAAAGAAATGGACTTGCTTCATTGGACCAACACGGGGGATTTTAGTTCCATCTGTGTCCCCACACTCAGTTTTCAAAAATCCTTGGCGCATTCCATCTTGCCGTTTTTCTAGGCCTTTTTCCGCACGCCTAACACTCTGAACGAAAGACAGCACAGGGTGTGAGGTTGGTATCGAAGCCGACACGTGTCGGTTCTGATGATAGTAAGTCGAACTGGCGAGAGGTAGGAGAGACCCTCAACTAGTTCGTCGGGATCGCCTCGTGACCCGGTCTCGGTCTGGTGCGGCTGCACCCGCGACACCAATGGTGGACGGTACTAGGGTGATCGTTAGCATCCCCGCCCCTTTCCCTTCTTCCCTAATCATATCCATCCCAAGGCGTGGCTGGAAGCTGTAGAAGCTCAAAACTACAGCGCAACCGATCTTCCTCGCGTTTTGACATTGCTACTCCAAAATACGTCGCATGACTGGTTTAAAAAACATACGTGGGTAGATTGGGATACTTTCAAGCAAGCCTTCTTGGCTCGATTCGATACGGTCAGTAAAGATGCCGCCTGGTACGTGCTCGAAAATCGGCCACAAGGACCAGGGGAATTGTTGCCCAATTTCGTCGATCGATTTCAAACCACGCTGGACAAATCTGGGCGAGACGAGAAATCCTCTTGAGATTTGTTCATCGATCATGTACGAAGTCCGACATTGAAAGGCAAACTGCAGAAAAAGGTCCCGCCGCAAACACACCAGTTATCAGCTATCATCGCTAAAGCGTTGGAATTGGACCTGGCTGATACAGAAAAGTATATCAGCCAGGGAGACGAAGACATTACAGATACCATACGGGATGTAACGGCTAAAAGGCGATCATGGCTGCAGGCGGTCGAACGGTTTTATCCCCGCCCCGACCATGACCTTCCCGGCGGGATCGTTTCCGATATCCCGCCTGCTTCTTCTTCCTCTCCCCCGGTGAATCAATCGATCGCAGCCGTTAAAAGCGGAATCTCAGCCGAACCCCCCTCGCCGGCCATAACCAACTTACACCTTGCCCAGATGATCCATACGGCCACTACCAAGCAGTCCGAATGGATGAGCAACCTGATCCAAATGCAGGTCGCTCACATGGAACGAATGGAACAAATAATGAGTAGGCTAATCAAGCCTAACCCGGCCTCTGCTCGGTCGGCCCCCGCATCATTTCCACTCTTACGTGCCTCGCCTGCCCCAAGGTACGCCCCTCAGTTCCCTCACCTAGCCAATCCAGCAGGAAAGATCGAGTGTTTTAACTGCAAACAGCCCGGACATTTCGCCCGAGACTGCCCGCAGCCAAAACGTAGTCAGGCTCCGCCTGCGGCGGCCCCCGTGACCATGAATCAGGGACGAGTGGCCGCTTTGATGGATAAAGCCTAGGGAGGAGAACTCGTGGCTTATGCCCCAGAGGAGCCTTCCCCCTCGACGACAATGGCGTCGACATCACGAGCTTCTCCCTCTGACGCTGCGGACGTGGTCGATCCACTCGAATATCTTCATCTTGCAGGGATGGTCGGAGCAATCCGATCGGCCCCTGATGATCTCGAATGGGTCGATCGGGAATCCAATCCTGATCCGCAGTTCCGAACAGGAGAGATTGACGTGCTACGAGCAGTCAAACAACTGGATATTCGTGTTTCGATCCCGGTGGGACATCTCCTCACCATATCTGAAGCGGCGAATGATAAGCTTTTACAACATTGCCAGAAAAATCAAAAGCGCTTCACCTATCAGCGCATACAACGAATGTTAAAGAAGAAGGAAGGAAACGAGGAAGTGGCACAACCCCAACCCGAAGCCGGCGAACCTGAGGCCGCACGAATAGCAGCGATCTCTTTAGTAGGGAAAGATCACTTCGTACGAGCTCGGCTGGTGCTATGGAAAAGTGCGGAGTGTGATTGCGAGATTTAGGGCAAGCTGTTTAACGCCCTTATCGACACAGGGTCTCCTGCAGTAGCCATATCATTAGACACTGTCAGAAAGACGGGACGACTCAGATCCATTCTTCCTCAATCTGGCAAAGACAATTATGTCTCCGCCGACGAGGAAACAATGAATATCGTAGGCATTATTGAAAACGTGGTTGTAAAGGTTGGACGAGTACACGTCCTCGTTAACGCGCTCGTGATAGATGTGCGCTCCTATTCTGTACTATTAGGATTGCCTTGGGCGATGGCGGTGGGCGCACGATTGCATTTCGATTCGAAACAACCGGTGCTCACTCAAACTGGGGGAAAGCCTCAAACTGTTCCTTTGCGGATTTCCACCCGGACGATAAAACGAACCCCTAACTCGGCCCAAATAGAGATGATTAGATACATCAATCCCGAGGAGTGTTCTTCCTCGGATATTGATAGTGGAGCCAAGGAACAGGAATGCGAAGAAGAGCTGCCTAGCGAAGATGAATGGAAGCACCTGGTTGAACTTTTCAAACACGAAATTCCCGAAGAATTCCAAGTGTGCCCCGACCCTGCTCGGAGCTTCCACGTGCCTCCGATAACTCAAGTTAGTCCTTCGGTCCTGCTTGGGGAACCTATATTACAAGTATCTGACCTGGCCGATGATTCGGAACCCCCTTGCACCTTGTACGAAGGAGCTCTCTCCTTACGAACACGTTATCAGCAAACGAAACAATATCTGGATGTTTCTGTTTTTCCGCCCAGAATGTTACTAACGACAGGAGCCACCATCGCTTTGATTAAACAAGAGGCGGAAACACCGGTAAGTGATGTACCTGATCTGATGCAGGAAATGACGGATCTAACGGGGCTAACTGTGAAACCGACCTCGGTTGGTTCGGAGACTGATGCTGAAACTAAAGAAACAGAGATGATTAGCCCTGCTAAGTCCCAGATGATAGCAACGGTCTTCTTTGTTCGCACCAGTAGTCCCGTTTTCTCTAGTGTCTATGATCGACGGGAACGGCCAGTTGATTGGGTCGATCTGCCCCTTAAGATTTCTAGGGAATCAACAATTACACTACCAAGTCACGTTCCCGCGAAACTTCAAAAGTCGTTAATCTGTGTGTTAAATGGTTACGCAGAAGTATTGAGCATACACGATAATGACATCGGCTTAACTAATGTGATCGAGCATGCCATTCTCACGGGAGACCATCCACCCATTAGCTGCGTTCCTTACCCATACTCGTCAGCTCAAAGAGCGGCCGCTTTTCAGCGGATTAAAGAATTTGAAGCTAATGGATGGATCGAACCCGCCATAGGTCCCTGGTCTTTTCCCGTAGTAATCGTGCCTAAAAAGGCCGGAGGGATTCGCATTTGCATCGATTATCGAAATTTGAATGATATCACGATCAAAGATGTGTACCCCTTCCCCCGGATTTATGAGTTGTTGGATGCGATTGGGAGTGCTCAAATTTTCCGCAAGTTTGATGTTCGCCATGGGTTCCATCATCTTCTCGTTCGAGAAGAAGATCGTCCGAAAACAGCGTTTGTACTTTTCGAGGGCACGTGGCAGTGGATTCGATGTCCGATGAGTATCTGCAATGCCCCCGCGACCTTTCAACGGGCCATGAACATGGTTTTTCATAATTTCGTGAGAAAGACTCGTTTGGCACTGAGCATCATCAACTACTGCGTGATTGTGTACATGGATGATATCTTGGTGTATTCGAGTTCCTACGAGGGACACGTGCAGCACATCGAATGGACACTGCACGCATTACGAGACGCGGGCTTCAAGGTGGCGCTTGAGAAGTGTTAATTTTTTCTCACCACCATTTCCTTTCTAGGGCACGTGGTGACAGACAAGGGACTCCAGTCGGAGCCACAGAAGGTGGCAACTGTCAGGGATGCGCCGGTGCCTACAACTATCACGCAAGTTTGCGCCTTTCTGGGCCTGGCCTCGTACTACCGAAGATTTATCAAGGGCTTCGCAGCAATTGCGGGACCCCTCACGAATCTGCTGCGCAAAGATTAGCCGTTGATCTGGACGCCGGAATGCAATCAAGCGTTTTCCAAACTCAAGGCCGCTCTCATTTCGGCTCTGGTCCTTATAAGACCGGACCCCGAAAAACCTTTTGTTCTCATCACAAACTGACAGCCAGAGGCAATTTCGGCGATCCTTGCCAAGGTGGGACCAAGCGGACTGAGAGTGTGGTGGAGTATGCCTCCAAATCGGTGCCTGCTTGCAAGCGCAACTACGCCGCTCCAACGGGGGAATGCTACGCGGCTCTCTGGGGAATCAGCCACTTTCGCGCTTACCTGTACGGGCGGAAGTTCACCTTGGTAACTGATCATGAGCCCCTGTTGGCTCTGAAGAAATCGAAGGATTACTCTGGCATGATCGGGCGATGGGCAACAGTGCTGCAGAGCATGGACTTTGACATTCGTCATCGGAAGCACGAGAGACACGGGAATGCGGACGCACTGACACGACTGCACCGACCCGAGAAAGTTCCGAAGAGTGAGGAGGTGATTCTGTGGAACGAACCTGAACATGAGATCGGACCTCGGTACGACCAAGTGGAGATCTTATCGAAGCAGTGAGTGACACGAGGACTAATTGGTCTGTTCTACCCTCTCTGCATCCCTTCCTTCTCTGTCATCATGGCTACCCCACTTGACTCCGCAACCCCTTCCTCTCCTACGAATTCTGCCCCTCTCACATCCTCAGCTTTCTTTGCCACCCTCCCTGATAAATTCTGTTATTTTTGCACGTGCATTGCACGGGTCTATGGGGTCGACTGTCATCCCTTCGAAACCGGGTTTGTCGACTGAGTAGAATGTGCCATGTGTGTCAATCGTGCGCACAGGGCCTGCGTTCGATATCGGACGAATAGCAAGGAATGAAGGTGCCCCCTGTGTAGAACGAACAAACTCCCCATGGAGGTTTGATTCGAGGCCGCCCGTACGGATGGCCTTGAATATGACGAAAAATACCGACGGGCGGAGGTTTGGACGGATAAAATTTTATTGGCGAAATTAGCGGGATTATCATTGGGCCACCTCACCAAACACGACAGACGTAGGGCGACCGAGAGATCTCGGGACTATCGATGGGTCAACGGTCATTTGGAAAAGCGTAAAACTAACGGATCGGGCTCGTGGTTGACGGTTCCCCATCCATTCCAGAGATATGATTGGATCCGATCTGCTCACGAAGAACAGGCGGCTCATTTCGCGATACGTGTCACAAAGGCAACTGTAGATCAGAACCGATGGTTCTGGTCCAATATACGAGATGATGTCAAATACATTGTTGTTAACTGTCTGGTTTGTACCGCTGATCGCGCCCCTATACGGGGAGCAAACACGATCGTACCAACGGAAGTAGAGCGTCCTTTCCAGCGAGTCAGTATGGACACGACAGATATCGACGTGCCACCTGGCCCAAACCGCTGTGAATATTCTATCCTGCTAGTATTAATAGATCATTTTTCCAAGTACATCGAAGTCTATCCCTGTAAGACCCGAAAAGTCGCAGAAATAGCTACGTACATCGAACGGTTCCTCTATACTCATCTAGATACGGAAGAAATTCAAACCGACAATAGGTTTGAATTCAAGGGTGAGGTAGAAGAACTGCTTGCGCGAAGGGGCGTCATGCTCTGACATACGGCACCCCACGTGTCCCAGTCAAACAGGTTGGCCGAAAATGCCAACCGTATGATTAAAACCGCTCTTCGCAGGAACTGAGCGGCACATGACACGCGTCCTTGGCCCGAGATCGTATATCAGATCGTCGGGATCCACCGGGCCACCCCTCACGAGTCCACGGGGTTTACCCCTTTTCAACTTCGAACTAATAGCCTCCCCTGTGTTGAATACCGGGGTAACTCGGAAATTGGTGAAGCAGGGGGTAGAGACACGCGTGCAGCTCTCAAGGCCAAGGCCAAAAGGTACACCGAATTAATGGAACGGGCCGTCCCGAAGCTAACCCGAAAAAGGCAAAGGATGACCGAACTGGCCCACGGTAGACAGGTCCGTAGCTACAAGGCTCGGAATGGAAATGCTGGGCCCCAACATCAATATAAATTAGGGGACCTAGTGCAGGTACGTAAATGTGCACGCGACCGGAAACTCGCTCCCAAGTTTTCTGGCTGTTTTCGTGTTGTCGAGCTCGGACCCAACGGCGCCAACATGGTGCGCATTGCGCCTGAGTCTAGTGCCAGCCATAGCTCTGTCCCCATCGTCCGGCATACCTCCTACCTCCGTCTCCTTCCTCCTTCCGATCTTCCTCCCTCTTCTTCCTCGAAAAGCGAGGAGAACGACGACGATCTAACCCTCTCTCCACTCTCTCCCTCTTGTCCTTCGACATCCTCCCCCACCTCGCCATGAGTTTTATCACGGAGCGGGTTCTTGACACACAGCTGTTGCAGCCACGTGGCCACATCTCAGAGATTCGGTAAGTTTGTCACCCTCGGCTCAATGCGGATCTTCAGCGTTTGATGCGATTCTTCTGCGACGAAGGTATCTGTGCCGCCGCCGCGTTTCGAATCGAAGGAAGTCCTCACGCAGTAGTATTCGCGGAGGTAACCACATTTCATCGGCGAGTGGGTCCCAGAACGAGCCACGTCACCACGATTGCAGCGTTCAGCGGCGACATCAGCTCGGTCAATCCGCAGTGGCATACCGCGATCTTGACCTCGCTGCGCGAGTGGACGGAGCAAGTGTCCAACGTGTAGCAGCACGTCCTCGCCCGACAGGGGTATAACCTCATCTCGATCTTTGCACCGGATCTTGGCGATATTCGCCGATCACCCCGCGCGAGCAGCCAGTTGTGATCCCAACCCTCGTCCCCTTCCGACATCCCCAATGAACCACGCCGATCTTCTCGCTCCTCTCTCTATCTTTGGTCTCCCCTCTCTCTTCCCCACCTTCTGGCAATCCGATCTTCATCCTTCTCTTTCCTTCTCGTTTGAGCCTCTTTCAGTCCCTCTTATCAATCCTGGACATTGTCGGTTGTGGTGCGAAACTTTTGAGGAGCTGTCTTTCTGCTTGGCCAGAGTACAGGTGACATGGACCACGACCAGCGGGCATCCTGCGTGGATCGAAAATCTGGAGCTGCTAATCATCCAAGCTTGGAGGACTAACGTGGAGGGCGATCTTTTTGGCTTTTTCTTTGGATCGGTACAGCCGGGGCGCCGCCAGCTGATTGCGCAAGAGCTCATCGCACCAATCGTGCAATTGGCAGACGATCTCTCGCTCGACATCTATTCACAGAGTGACGACAGTCCTGCTCCGTACATATTCGAGCGATCATTGGATCTGTACCTTCAGTGGGGACTGCGTGCTTGGAGGAACCTAGGGACGAGGATACGCTACCATCGCGGCAGGAGTATCTCAAGCCGTACGATATCATCCCTCACGCCTTTTATCCAAGGGTGGAGGAAGTGGTGATCGACGACGACGAAGAAGACGAGGACGAGGAAACATCGGAGGAGGGAAGCTATAGTGAACATAGCGAGGGCRASYTGAGCGAAGGAGAAGAGGAGGAAGAAGAAACCGGATCTGAGTGGGAAGCCTTGCCGGAGGAAGCGACGCGTACGGGAACGGAGGCGGAAGATCCGGAAGCGGCGCGAAAGCGCGAAGAAATTGCCACCGGGAAGCGCTTGCTGGAGTTCGCCAGCGAAGCTAACCTGCGCATCGGTAAGGATCCGACCAGGGATCCAGAGCCGCCGAAGCACGAAGATGGCGACCCTGCAGCCGCCACCTCAAGTACCGCGCGATGGAGACGGAGCCGATCCCCCTCCTCCTCCAGCCCCACCCGTCCCCTAGTTCGCCCACGTACCGATGCGGGCGATAGGCCTTCGTCCTCGGACGCTGTCCCGCCGACCCCTTGATTTCCTCACCCTCGAGCAGATCCGTACCCCCGTCACCTTCCCTTCCCATCCCTTCCTTCCCCATCTCTTCCTTGACTTCTATTCTACCCGCCTACTCGCCACCGTCCACCCCCACGCCTCCCCTCAATCCGTTGCCCCCATGTTCTGCTGGCATCTCCTGCTGTTCAGCGCTGCATGGGAGCGATGCAACGTGGTAGAGGTTTACTACGTTGCCACGGGGACAATCCCCGCCTGCCGCCACCACGAGTTCTTTCGAGCGGCGCTTTTCTGCACCCTCTCCTCCTTCTATCGCGACTACCTTACTTCCCTCCCTCGCAGCGGCGATCACTTCCCCCACTTCCACCGGATCATCCGATATGAGGAGCTTCTGGTGACGATGGAAGGAATGAATTGCTTCCTACCCCCACTTCCTCCCCGTCGACCCCGTGAAATCCCCTCCATGTACCGCCTCTATTGGCCCGTTCCAACTACTCCTAGTAGGAGGTAGATCCCGATCACATCACGACTCC